GGGGGGGCATCCAGAGCCGCGTTTTCACCTTCAGTCTCTGGTTGGTGGCATCAAACAGCAGCTTAATCCCATCCTGAGTCAAGTTCAGTATGAGGTCATGGCTGAGGGGCGTCTGTGGGGGGGGGGGAAACACAGCCGTCAGCTAACAGAGAGGCAGCAGACCTGGGATCAGGGAGGACACCTGTCCCACCCCCCTGACTGGCGTGCTTATGAACAGGAAAACAGGTTCCCTCGCCCAAAGCAGCCCAGTTATGAGCCTAAAGGTGGAACACCAGCTGCCTGCACACTCCCAAAACCAAGGCTGGTTTAGGGACGTTTTCATAAAGCTGGGCAGAACTTAAAGAGGCTGTGATCAGCCTCCGTTTCCTCTGTAACAGGGTTAAAGACAACTGCTGGAAAGGTGACTTTTACCCTCCTGAGAGCCTGTTCTCCTCTGAGAACGCTGCATTTCTGCATCTCTGTACCAGGATGCTTCTTTTTTCTTTGACCTTTGACCTCTTGGCCTCATAGCAGACGCTATCAGACACTACTGTTTGAAATCTAAAGGAAAATGCTTTCAGACATTTTACACCAATGATATTGTTATTGTGAAATTTAAATGTTGTAAATAAGTCATTTGGACCCTCAAAACCAAATAGCAAAAACATTTAATTAAATCTATAAACAGACATTTTAAATCTAAAGATAAACCCACTGAGCCTATATGAAGAAAAACTACCTGTACCAGGACAAAGTCTTGTTATTAAACTTATCAGCTCCTACTGATCCAGAGATCTGGAACAAAGCAGAAACCAGATAAAAGCTTTGGCTCGCAGGAGGGTAAAGGAGAAAAAAACTCTGAAAGCTGCAGGACCGCTGGAGCCCCTCGGAGGGTTAAAGGAGAGACGAGAGGCAGATTGGGAGCCTTGAATAACACTGTGGCTCATAATGAAGCTGCTAAATGGGCTCTTTTAGTGTCTTCACCATGTTAACGATCTAACTAAAAGGTGGAAAACCTGCCCAGTTTCTGGACACTGCACCTGTTTTGCTGCCTGGAAAAACAATCTTATAAAGGCTGGTTAGCATTTCTGAGATGGGAGCAGACTTTCAGGAACTTTACCTGCTCGCTGTACAGCACCTGGACATTTTTGATGATGCGGCAGTGTTTCTGGAGGATAGAAATGGCCTGGGAAAAGGGCATCCCTGAAAGCAGAGACACACATGAGTGCCACTCGGGCCTGAACCCGGCTCCCAGACGTTTGCGCTTGCCTTGTGGACCCACCTAAGGCGAACTCCCATTGCTCATTTCCTAGTGATCTCTCAGGCACCACCTCCAGATCCAGCATTGGCAAGTAGTGGGGGGCAGCTCACCTCACCTCAAGACACAATGGGACCCTGTGAGGGACCCTCTCCTAATGCTGGCTCTCCCTGACCACAGCGCCGTCTCACAACGGGATCAGGCGGCTATTTCAATTCATAACGACCAAGGTGTCCATCAAAAGCTGACGCATTCGTGAGCAGGAGCATCCAAAGCTTCTCAGAAACCTCTTCTCTCTATCTCATAATAATATTTAACCACACTATGACACCAAAGGGGAATAAGATGCGTTGGATATTTTTTAAAATGACATCAACGTGTACCAAGCTAGAAAAGACAAGACCAACAAGCACCCAGGAAGACACAGAAAAGTATCGACTCAACCTGTGAACTACAGGAGAACACAGAGGGCCAGCTGGAGCTGCAGCTTGCTTAAAATCAATAAAACCTGAATGCGCAGCTTTTCTGGGAGGTAAGTTCTGGCCCCCACAGGCGTCAGCTCGGCTGATTCAGTGGTAGTCTGACTCCTAAAAAACACGGATAGAGATTTCCCCGGCGCTGTCACCGTTATGTCTCGTTATCTGTGACAGCCCGGCGGTTACGAAAGCAGCAAATCTTCAGTTTTTCTTCGCGCTATCGGCTAACGTTAGCGGACGAGCTAACAACAACGGCACAGCTGAGCGATGGAAATAAATAACAACCCCGCAAAAAAAACACCCGACATTCAAGTAGCACGAATCTGACGTCGTGATTCACACCGGTACGACTTAAACAAAGGGAAGCCGTCGGCTGTCGTTGCTGTTTTTCTTTCTTCGCTTGGCCGAAGCTTGAGGGCAGCTAGCTTCTCTGCAGCCAGAGCGCGAATCCCGCAGTTCCCACCGCGAAAAGCGTCCTTGTTTGGCGTTAAAAAAAAAAACAACCGGGGCAGCCGGTCCGTCGCTCGGCCTTCGCCGTAACTTCAACGTCAGGAACAGATAAGAGCGACACGGCGGCCACACGACAGCAACTTCAGACATCAACAACAGCCAGCAGGATCAGCTGATAAATCCACTTCCTGTGTGCGTCGTAAACCTTCGACTGGCGTGGTGACGTTGCAGTCAGCTGACGCCGAGCGTCCAATCACAGCCGTCGAACGTTGGGTTTGTTTTTTTTTGCGCTCAACAAACATTTAACTGACTTCTGTTCAAGTAAAAAGTGAGGACGAAAACATTGTTTACGAGGAGATCTCGAAATTATCAGATCTTTTCTCTTAAGTAGGAGATCTTTTCACGTTCACAAGCTTTAGTCTTTGTAAAAACTCTCAAGCCATATTTAATATCTGATGTAGGTGTGAATAACGGCCCGTCCAACACTTTGGTCGCCTGAGAACCACTCTTTCCTTTCCTTCCCCTTTTTATTCCGTTCCTGCAAACAAACTCCTTACTGAAGGAGTTTCTCTTCCTTTTTCTGCCTGAGAACCTTTTAGAAACGATGAGAACTATTTCTTTTTGTGAGAGAAATTGGTACCTGCTGTCAGCTTTGATCAAACTGATGTCAGGTTTTAAGATACCAAAGACCTGAGTTATTAATGAGAATGTCATTTAAGCTCTACAGAACTTTATATATTCTCAAACCTGTTTGAATAAACACAAAAACCCAGAATAAGATTTTTTTTTAAATAAATATGAGCTAAATCATCCTGAAGTGAATATCAAGAACACAAACAGGCAAAAGCTGCATGTGTTGTGCTTAAACACTAAAGTGTTCACAGGGAATATTGCGATAACAATACAATCAGCAGAGAAACACCAGAAACAGATACAAGAATGGATATATGTTTATTAGGACAGCCTTCCAGGGACGGGGTTGGACCCCAAAACAGCTGGAAACAGAGCACACGCACACGAAGCAGGACAAGCTTAAAGCTACTAAACAAAGTTAAAAGTGTAAATAACTTAAACAAATAAGATTAGAAGGTAAAAAAAAGGAGAGTGCTTGTGGTTTCTGTTTGCCTTAATGCCTGCATTAAGAGGACTGAGGGAGGCTGGGGACTTAAAGGGGGACCAGTCTGGACCACCTGAGCAGATCTCAGCTTTTCCAGCTTTGATTGACTGAAGCATCCCAACTTTAACCCTAAAACCCTCCAGCTGCTGTGCTTAATGCCAGAAAACCGAACCTTCCTGTTGTGGATCCACCTAGCTGGGCCTCATCCAGGCCCAAACCCGACCCATTGCCACCACCCGTTGGCGGGTTTCAGTAAGGGTTCAGTGGACGTTGGGAAGCAGCTTTTTTCCACTCTGAGAGAAGCTGGAGCCAGATGTCTGAGCCTCTGAGCTCAGGCTGCCCTGGAAACGCAGCATCCTGTGTTTTCTACCTCTGCAGAACCTGAAGACGGAGCCCAAAAGAGGCCTTTGGGTCATCCTGATGAACCGTTCAGTTGAGTTTTGTTTGGATGTGACAAACAGGAAGAAGTGAAAGAAACAAACGTGGACTAAAGTAAAAACTGAAAAAATAAAGAGCTACTAGTTGCAAAATATAAAAATATTTATGCTGCCTGATAAGAGTTTGAGTCGATCCACAATCACATGGACTTCCCTTAAAAAGAAGCAATAAAATAACAGGGTAAAAGAGCACATAGAGAGAAAGCAGCAGGAGACCGAATCCTGCCACTTTCCTGGAGACATTTTGTATTTTTTAAACTCAGATTTACTGAAAATAACCTGAGGACGCTCCATAAGAACGCTAAAAGATGAGAATAAAATGAAAATATAAAAGGTAAACATCATGACTTCCACTCGAACCAAATTTAGACCGAACACAGACCAAACAAAGCTTTTCTTAACAGGGAGGGGTGCGTCCCACAGCCTGATGAGGGGGGCATCTGGGTGGGGGGGCCACTGGGTGCCCCCCCCATCAGCTGGATTCCCCCCCCCAGGTGGAGAGCATCTGCTTATGAAAGGGAGCTTTGATTTCATGCATTTAAAGAGAATCGAAGAAACCAGGACTGATTGTGTCACACAGTGCAGACCAGGGCCGTTTGCACCCCCCCACCCTCGTCTTTTACCCCCCCACCCCAACATCCCCCCCCTCGTTCCAGCAGAGTGAACTTTGGTCTCAGAAAACAGCAGGTTTGAGGAAGTGAGCTTTATGGGGGGGGGGATTCAAACTGCCATCGAAGCAAAGTGTTCAAACTGAACACTTTGCTTTGATACTACTTAATGTGGGACTGTGGGACCCCCCCCCCCCTAATGTGGGAACCACCCTTTACCCTCCTGAGAGCCTGTTCTGATGTGAGGACGCTGCATTTCTGAAATCTAAAGGAAAATGGTTTTGGACATTTTATACAAACGGGCCAATGGGAGCAGGGCATGCTGTCCCATGTGACCTGAGGAAGGAGAGGATACTGTGTGTGATCCATTTAAATAGGGAGGAACATCTGTGTGGGGAATTCTTTAGAAAATCATTGAAAAATCTGCTTTTTAGGTCTTTAGATGAGGGGAAATCACTGGTGTATTCAAAGACTTTAGAAACTAAAGGAAAATAGTTTTAGACATTTTAAACCAATCATGTTCTTATTGTGGAATTAAAATGTTGTAAATAAGTCATTTGGACCCTCAGAACCAAATAGCAAAATCGTTTAATTAATTAACATTTTAAATCAGAAGATAAACCCACTGAGCCTATATGAAGAAAAACTCCCTGTACAAGGACGAAGTGGACTCTCAGGAGGATAAAGTGGGACCCCCCCCCCCCCCTCCTGGACTAACCCTTTATCTTCTGAATCTGAGCGCTCAGCTGCCTCTAAAGGCTGCGGGGCGTCGGCTCTGTCCACCTTCAGCACCACCAGCTCTCAGCGGGACTCAGCTGGTGCTGCTGAGGGCGAACTCCTCCTCTTCCTCCTCCTCCTCCACCTCCACCTCCACCTCCTCCTCCTCCTCCTCTTCTTCCTCCTTCTCCACCTCCTCCTCCTCCTCAGCGCATCTTGTGCTCCACGTCAGCGTTGGCCATGTTTGAGCCAGGGCTGGGGTCCTGCTGTCGTCTGGACTGGGGATGACAGAGGGATGGAGGGATGAAGGAGGACAGAGAGAGACAGAGAGGAGGGGGGAGAGAGGAATAGAAATGGAGAAAAGACAGAAGACAACAAATTAAGTTAATTGTCCAGAAACTGTGTAGAGCTTTAAATTCTTCCATTGAACCTCCTTTATGGTTGATTTGGGATGTGAAGTTCTCTGTTTTGGTGTCTGTTTAGATGGTTTTACTTTGTGTTTTGGCTTATCAAATGTGAATAAACCACCTTCAGCTACGAGCACTGAAAACCAGAGAAGAAGAAGAAGAAAAAAAAACCCTAAAAACACTAAAAGAGAGACTCTGGGTCTGGATCAGGACTCTGGATCTGGTCTCTGGGTCAGGACTCTGCTGACTTCCAGCAGCCTCCAGCAGAGGGAGGCAGAGGGCTGTTTATAAGCTGTTCAGCTAATGGTCTGTTATGGTGGAGGCTCTACACACACACACACACACACACATACACGCGCGGTGCATCAGCAGAAGCCGAATGCATGACAAGACTTTTAAAAATATGTGCTGACGGCACAGTGAGTTAGTTCAGCCTGGGGGGGGGGCAGAGTCTCTCCTCAATGACTCACCATGACAGCAGCCACATTTCACAGAGTCCAGTGTGTCATGGCACCACTTTGACCCCCAGAGCCAGACCGGCTCCTCCGATAGGCCTTTTTCAGGAACCTCTGAGCTCCAGAGACGCTGCCTCTCTTTGCCAAGTTTTTTTTTTTTTTACCATTGACCTCTTGGCCTCATAGCAGACGCTATCAGACACTAGTGTTTGAAATCTCAAGGAAAATGGTTTTAGACATTTTATACAAACGGGCCAATGGGAGCAGGGGATGCTGTCCCATGTGACCTGAGAAAGGAGAGGATACTGTGTGTGATCCATTTAAATGGAGAGGAACATCTGTGTGGGGAACTCTGTTGAAAATCACTGAAAAATCAGCTTTTTAGGTCTTTAGATGTGCGTGTATTATATATATACATACACATGTTTACATTAAATATGATATATATTATAATATTATATATTAAATAATTCATAATAATAAGAACTAATTTAAATCTTTTTTATTTTTCTGTTTTTACTTACTTGTTGTGTTTTATACTGCTGCTATATATTTTTCAGCGCTCATTTTGGACAACCTTTCACCCCTTTAGCTGCATTTATTTATCTATTCTATTGTCACCCTGAATCACAGTGTTTCCCCTCAGGATGAATAGAGCTTTCTGGATCTTGAAGCTGCTGATGGAGCCTGCAGGCCTCCCAGGACGTCCGGGCCTCGGCTCGATACGGTGGCCTGTGAGGGCCAAATGGACCTGGGCCAGAGCTGCTGCATCGGGGGCCGAAGCCGGTCGATGCTAATGACATATTAATGCTCATCCTCCAGCGGCCCTCTGCCGAGTGTCTGGGGGCGTGCACGGCCTGCGTGCACGTGTTACTGTACTCATCCGTCAACATCGTGGGAGCTCTGAGGGCTCCCTCACAGAGATGCTTTCAGGGTGTGGACGCGAGGGGAAAGCAAAGGCTCAGATCCTCAGATCGATTGCTGCGCATCCATCACTGACAGCCGCCTCCGACCTCCAGGATCCACCAGAGATAGATAAATAGATAGATAGATAGATAGATAGATAGATAGATAGATAGATAGATA